GGGGCTCAGTGGTGACATGATTTGGTGGGTGTGGCCAACTCAACATCACTCCCGTCAATGGGTGCTTCGCCTTAGCTCTTACAATGTAATCAGGGTTAACCGGAGAGACAGTTTCTATAAAGAAAGGTCAGAATGTTTCCTTCCTGCCTTCCTTACAGGATTAGCCCTATTAAGTGGGGAAAAACAAAAGGAGATTTCTTCCAACAATTGGTTCTCTGAACTGCCTGGAAAGTTATCAGCCGGTTCTCCCGAATAGGTGCGAACCGGCTGAATCCCACCACTGAACTATTTGCTAGTTTTATTTACTATAGTTTACTATTTTAGGGGTGTTTTGTTAACCTTAAACACACTTTGACTCTTATTCTATGCTTATTCTATTTTATATTCCCATTTTATTCTAACCCTGCACATTCTTATCAGGGAATTTGGGATGGCATGTGTATCATCCATTGCTATTTCATCTTAATGATAAGGAGTGGCTTATGGGTCAGTCACCAAATATTCATGATTCCCAGGGTATTTGAAGCTGGGTCTCCCAGATCTTAGGTCAATGTTCTGCATTACACAGTTGCTCCACAATGCAGGTAGTCCTCCAGTGACAACAGTACATTTTGTGACCCTCCGAAGTTACAATGACACTGAAAAAAATTACTTATTTTTCACATTTATGACCACTGCAGAATCCTCATGATCATGTGATTTATATTTGGAAGCTTGACAACTGACTCATATTTATGACGGTTGCAGTGTCCCGGGGTCACGTGATCACCTTTTGCAACCTTCTGACAAGCAATGTCAATGGGATTCACTTAACAACGGTGTTGCTAATTTAAGAACGGCAGTGATTCCATTCACAAAAGTGGCAAGTCATAAAATGGGGCAAAATTCAGTCAACAAATTTCTCACTTAGCAACATAAATTTTGGGCTCAAGTGTGGTCGTAAGTAGAGGACTATCTGTATTAAGGAACACCAAACTGTCACTACAAGAGCATTCTGTTTTATCGTCCAGCGCTACAATAGTCACTTGAACCACAGGATGTGGTTGGTGAAGTGGGATTACCTGGAATCCCAAAGGTGCTTTTTCAAGAAGCAAGTGGACCTCCTTTGTTTTTCCTTGAAGATGTTTTGCTTCTCATCCAAGAAGCTTCTTCTGTTCTGAAGAGGACTGAAGAAGTTTCTTGGAAGAGAAGCAAAGCAAGTTCAAGGAAAAAACAAAGGAACTCAAGTTCC